TGGGGTACGGGAGGGACCAGGAAACTCCTCCTCTCCAGAGTCTGCCCCTGGGAGAAGAGGGCAGAGTGCCACCCAGACACCTCGCCTGCCCACTCATGCCTGAGGGTGTCAAGTTGTCTCTTGCAGTGCAGACAAGCTGCACCAAAGTGTCCACACTCTCCTTAGCCAAGCTGAGGGCAGGGAGAGTTGGTGGCTCTGTGGCTAGGGCTAGGACCTTCTTCAGGGGCTGCTGAAGGGTAGCAGAACATGCCACCCCAAAATATGTCACTTGGGCATAAGGATTGTTTTGAGCTGAAGGCAACTGAGAAGAAGCAGAGACAAGAAAAGCTCTCTGCCCTCCCCCTATTTGCCTAAAAGCCGGATATATACATTTATAAGGGTGTCCCTCCTCCCCCTCAACCAGGAAGGACAAAGGCTGATCACAGAAGACAGTGTTAAAACCTTATCAGCCTGGAGATGGCACAAAGGAATCCACATAACAAGCTCTGCTAACTAGCCTTTATCTACCATTAGTTTCCCATTGATTTGTCTTCCCACAATTTTCCATCCCCAGAGACTCCAAGTCCTTTTTCTTTGTCTCTTGCTTCTTTTAAATTGTATGCTCTTGGTTGAAAATGCTATGTAAGCCAGAGTTCTAAGCTACCTCTTTTGTTTGTTTGTTTGTTTGTTTTGAGACGAACTCTCGCTCTGTCGCCCAGGCTGGAGTGCAGTGGCGTGATCTCGGCTCACTGCAAGCTCCGCCTCCCGGGTTCACGTCATTCTCCTGCCTTAGCCTCCTAAGTAGCTGGGACTACAGGTGCCTGCTACCACACCTGGCTAATTGTTTGTATTTTTAGTAGAGATAGGGTTTCACAGGATGGTCTAGATCTCCTGACCTTGTGATCCACCCGCCTTGGCCTCCCAAAGTGCTGGGATTACAGGTGTGAGCCACCGTGCCAGACCTCTAAGCTACCTCTTTAAGCTTTTCTCATTTTTCCTGAGGATCTCCCATGAGAACATTTTATACATGTTAATAAAGTTCTGTTTGTTTTTCCTTGTTAATCTGTCTTCTGTTACCAGGGTCCGAGCTAAGAACTCAGAAAGGTAGAGAGAAAATGGTTTTTTCCTTCACTACACTGGGAAACCAAGTCAAGCCACTCATTCCATGAGGTGCTCTAATCTCAGCTTCATGACCAACCAATGACCCTCCCATCACGAAAGTCAGGTGACCTCAAAGGAACCCCCTCCTGGGAGGGCTCTTAATGACCCAACCAGTCTACCAGTCACTGTTGGAGCTCCCTGGTTTCCTCAGGTACCTATTCTGCCCTTGGAAGTGCCTGGTGCAGAGGGGATCCGGGGAGGTGGCAGGGCAGAGATAAGCTCCAAGAGACGTGCAGGCTGCCGGGGGTCCCTTCCTGGCCAAGCCTTGAAGTTCTCTCTGAAGAGCAGTATCAACTGGCGACTCCTACGCATCCTGGGAGGCCTCTGCCTTCCTTCTCACGTTTCAGGCAGGCAGGCAAAGTTCAGCCTTCCCCTTCTTGGCTAGAATTTTCTGCCAGTGAATTCGGTTCTGAATACCCCAGCCGAGTGGGATTTCCAGCTACCTGGAGAGAAGTCTGGGACCACGCTGGCAGACTGTCAGGACCTGCTCCTGTGATTTGATTTCCACTGCAGAGAGCACACTTCTTTTTCTTTCTATACTTGCCAGTTTCCCGGAGGCCCCTGGCCATCCTTGAGCCCGGTGCAGACAGCAGCCAGCAGGACCAGAGCCTGATGGACAAACTCGGGACAAACTGTGCTGGTTCTCTTGCCCAGCAGAAAACTGCCAAGGTGGCATCTCCTTCCTGCCTGGTCTGGGTAGAAAACCCTGAGCTGAACCCAGAGCAGGGCTAGAACCACAGAAACATCTCTTATTGCATCTAGGGCAGGGACAGGGAGACAGGGAGAGTAGAGAATCCGCTCTTGGCCAAAACCTATATTCTTAGAGACATGGGGCCCCTGGCCCCTAAGAGCAAAGTTTTCAACTCCCACTGGGCTTTCTTTAGCCTCTTGGCACTTGCCAACCCCATTCTAAGGACTAGAGGGCCAAACCCAGCACCCACACAGCACAGTAAGAATATCTTCACCGACCACTTTCCAGACCTCAGGGAGCAGGACCCACTCACGACCTCAGAGGGCTCGCTGGGGGCCCTAAGCTCCTCTAGCCCAGGCCTGTGGGTGGCTATGCCCTTAGGGGAGGGGAGGCTCTCCTCCTTGTACTGATCAGAGGCCAACGTCCTCATAAAGTCACAGTGGCATGGTAAGGCCAGAGTGTCCTCCCTGGAAGCCTGCCCTGATTCCACAGCAGGGATATCACCTCCCTTCCACATTCCTCTCTTGGTAATTCTTCAAGGCTGTACCAACCTCCAGACTTCACAAAGGCTCAGATGACTGATGTGTCTCTTTCCTCTACTATTTTTACAATGAATCCCTTACAAAAATGTGAAACTGACTTAGAATGACAGCTAGTCGTTCCTATCATGTTGTATCACATTGAAAAAGATTCCAAGATCACATCTTTGCTTGGTGGGAAAAAGGTGCTGTGATTGCTTAGCAATATCTGACACTGGTGAGGGACTGAAGGAGAGTGGGATCTTCCGCGCTATGCTTTGCTGTCTCTGGGACTGCACTGCAGACGTTTACACTTTCACATGCATCACCTCATTATGATTAGAACAACACTATGGCCCAGGAACAATGAGGATCGTTATCTACAAAAGGGGACACCAGGAGCATGCAAGTTAAGCGTGTCTTTTCCTAAGTCCCCCAGGTGGATCAGGGCCAGAGCCAGGATTAGACCCCAGATGTCCTGAGTCTCAGGCCAGCACAGGGAAGACACTTAGATCTGGGAACACTTGAGATCGACTCACTAAAGCGTTCAAATGTCTTTAGAAAATGAGTGCTTAGCAAATCTTCCCCAGGCTGAACATTTGCTATTCTTTATGCGTATGTGTGGGATGCTGGCAGGAACAGAGCCTGTAGACGGGATGGGCTGCCCACGTAGAAGCCGAATGCCCCTCTGGTTGCTTGTAACTTTAAAAGAGGGCAGGCCTGGCTCCAACTTGCTCCAATTTTATCAAATCAGCAAGGCATCCCAGGAAGGAAAAAGGGACCACTTCAGAAACATCTGCAGGGAGCCACTCTGGATGGCTATTCAGTTACCATGGAAACCTACCCTTGGAAACTGCTTCAATTTCAGGAAAATAGCTACAAACAATAATAAGCATAAATGAAAAATGGTACACTGTTACTTCAAAATTGTACTTGTTACTGGATTTTGTTGGGTTTTCAGGGCTGAGCCTGCAGGCTCATATCCGTGAACACAGTGGAAGGCAGACATCTCTGCCTGGCTGCAGGCCTAATGATATAGCCCACACCCTCCCTCCCACTGCCCTAATCAAGTTTCTGGATGTGACCTCTGGCGAGGCATTTATCAGAGAAGCTGATGTCTAAATTGAGGGAGGAAGGAGGAAGCCTCTTGCAGAAAGCAAACATTTGTTGAGTTGACTGGAAGGCAATGCAGCCATGTGGGAGGGAACACGGACAAGGGTGTATGGTGACTGCACGAGCTTTCTTCATCCGAGGCTGAACATTCACACAGACCTAAGTTAGAAATCTACAGAAATCAGGCAGCGGGAATAATAGCTGAGCTGGGAATTCCTGTTCTATTTCCTTTTCAAGGACTGTCAGGTTGGAAAGGACCTTATGAAGATGGCCTGGTCTGGCTCTTCCCCATGTGACGCTGCATTCTCTTGGCAACACTCTCACCAGATGATTACTGAGTATGTGCCTAGACTATGCTAAGAGTTACAATGTTTTCCCTGACATGGCTGAAATCTAACTCCCTGCCTGTAGCTTCTACTCACAGACAAATCAGCCCCCTTTTGGCAATGCCAACCCTTCAGCCATCTGGAGCCATGCTCCTGATGCCTCTGTGCTCTCGCTGTGCCAGACGTCAGGGATACCCTAATGGCTGTTCCCCTCAACGTGCTCTCACATGGAGATATCTAAGGTGGAACCCAGACCCTAAGAGGGAAAGATTGTTGCTAACTGTGGGCTCCTAGATTATCCTTCAAAAATCACTTGTACAGATGCACGCTTGCAAGCTTCCAGATCACTACATTTATCTGGACACCTGTTCTCTGGAAGCAGCAAAGGAAAGCAGGGAAAAAATGATAATCTATAGGGTCTGGAATATCACCTGTCAGAGCTGGTGCTCAATAAATGTTGCCTGGACCAGAGGATACCCACCAAACAGATGATTAAAACTAAGGGTCAGAGAAGGTGGCTGACTTACCCATGATCACCAGGTAGAGGACAAGAGTATCAGCATCCTGCTCCCCAGCCTCTTTGCTTCCCACAGGGAGGCCACTGTGCCCTGGACACCCAAGTCCTGAGCCTATGAACGAGGACCAGGGACTACTGGATCCTCTTAGCACCCCAGGGACCATTCTCAATGTGTGCCTGAGTCAGGTCTGACATGACAACCCACCCCAGAAAACCCCCTGAATCCCACCAAAGATATGTGGAACTCCTTGGAAATGGAGAAGGCAGGGAGGGTCTGGGGACTCCCAGGAAGAAAAGCATTTTGGTAACCGCCCTAGATTCTGGATTAGCCTTCAGGGCAAGGGTCTGATGAGTAACAATGACAGCCTTTTGGGGCTAGATCCCTTTGTAGAAACTTACAGCAAAAGGAAGTCACAAAGAGTATCAACCAAACCTTCTAGATTTTGTCATCAGCACAGACCCTGATTGAAGGGAAATGGCCTGTGTCTACCAGAGAAGGCTAGGTATCCCAAGAACTGTCTCTTCCAACACAGCAGGAGGGAAGTCCCCTCCCCCAGACACCAGGGAACAGCAGTAGCAAGGCACAGGCAGGCAGTGGAGTATGGGGACAAGGAGGGACAAAGGGGGATAAGGGCCCTGAGGCTGTGGGAGGAGGTGGCGGGAGTGTGGATGGAGGGGGGCGGGGTCTGACTCACCAGGCTGTGCATGATGCGCACACCATCTGGGTTCACTGTGAGCGCCTCCTTGTACAGCTGCTTGGCCTCCTCCAGGCTGCCCTTCACCTCAGCCAGCCGGCCCCGCATATATAGTACTGAGTGAGAAGTGGGGAAGAGGCCTGCTGCCTCCTGGATGCAGAAACCTGCTTCCTTGAGGTGCTTCTGCTCCATGAACAGCTCAGCTGCAAAACCAGAAGGGCAGTGGGAGGTGTGAGTTGTGGGGAGTCAGAGGCATCCTGACCCCGTCCCTGCATCCTCAGAGCTGGGGAACCGGTCTTAGGTGACGAACACTATCCCACCGAGTCACAGCATGGGGCACACTGACTATGGGATGTAGTGGGAACACTAGGTAACAGTTTCTGAGAGCTTCCTCTGTGTCAAGCACCTTGCTAAGTGCCAGTCAATGGCACCAAGATCATCCCAGTTAATGCTCACAAAAATCCTGTAGAACAAGCTTTTTTTTTTTTTTTTTTTTTTTGAGACAGGGTCTCCTTTGTCAACCAGGCTGGAGTGCACTGATGTGACCATGGCTCACTGCAGCCTTTTCTAAAAAAAAGTTAATTTATTTATTTAGAGACAGAGTCTCCCTCTGTTGTCCAGGCTGCAGTGCAGTGGCACGATCTCAGCTCACTGTAACCTCTGTCCCGCTGGGTTCAAGTGATTTTCCTGTCTTAGCCTCCCGAGTAGCTGGGATTACAGGCATGCACCACCATGCCTGGCTAATTTTTGTATTTTTGGTAGAGGGGCTCAGGCTGGTCTCGAACTCCTGGCCTCAAGTGATCTGCCCACCTTAGCCTCCCAAAGTGCTAGGATTATAAGCATGAGCCACTATGCTCGGCCTCACTGCAGCCTTGACCTCTTGGGCTCAAGCAATCCTCCCACCTCAGTCTCCTGAGTAGCTGGGACTACAGACATGTGCCAACATGCCCAGATAATTTTTGTATTTTTTGTAGAGATGGGCTTTTGCCATGTTGCCCAGGCTGGTCTTGAACTCCTGGGCTCAAGAGATCCTCCCATTTCAGCCTCTCAAAGTGCTGAGATAATAGGCATGAGAAACCACACCCTGCACAAGCACTTTTATTACCCCACTTTAGAGGGGCAAAAACTGGGCACAGAGGGGTCAAGGCATTGGACTAAGGCCACAGTGGGAGTAAGTGGTGAAGCCAGGGTTTGCATTGGGCTGTTTGACTTCAGAACCTGGCGAGGGGACATGGCGTCCCCTGAGCTAAAAGCTTGCTCAGGTGACTGCAGCCTCTTTTTCAGTGTTCCTTCACTTCCTTTGTTCATTGCATGTCCAGGGAAAAGGGGATGGAAGCAGACTAGGGAGCTCTCTTTGGGTCCCTTGGTCTCCCAGGCAGGGGCTGACTGAAGGTGGGTATGTGCTCAGAGCCAGGGAGAACCAAATGACCCTGCCAAAGATAGGGTGGGAGGATGAGGGAGAAGAGGCTCAGGGGCAAAGGAGGGCACAAACCAAGCATTGTTGGTAACAGCTACAGAAACCTCCCCTGTGCTAATGGAGAGCTGATGGGCCAAGCCTGGGTTTGGGAAACATTTTCTCGTTAATCCTGACAGCAAGTCTTGGAAGGAGGCATAATCCTCACTTAAAAAATGCAGGTGGCCGGGCACCATGGCTCACGCCTGTAGTCCCACCACTTTGGGAGGCCAAGGTGGGTAGATCACGAGGTCAGGAGTTCAAGACCAGCCTGGCCAGGATGGTGAAACCCTGTATCTACTAAAAATACAAAAAAAATTAGCTGGGCATGGTGGCGGGTGCCTGTGATCTCAGTACTCGGGAGGCTGAGGCAGAGAGTTGTTTGAATCTGGGAGGTGGAGGTTGTGGTGAACTGAGATAGTGCCACTGTGCTCCAGCCTGGGTGACAAAGCCAGACTTCATCTCAAAAAAAAAAAAAAAAAAAAAAAAAAAAGCAGGCTTAGGAGGTGAGGACCCCGCCCCATTCCCTCACTGAGAAAGGGCAAAGCCAGGGCTGGACTCCCCAGCAGTTCCGTGGCCTCCCTCCAAAGCAGACACACACCCCTTTGGGCCAGCAGGCAGGAGAGGATCTGTCCTGGAACCAGAGGAGTAGGGAATGGGGCACTTTCTCCAATCCAGGCCAGCCCCCACACACACACATTTCAGACCCACGGGCACACCCCACACTAAGGCACTTTAGGAGACGCGGCTCTTCAGCCTCACTGGGCACTCAGCCTTTGTCCAAAGCAGCCCCCAGGCTTGGCAGCCCACTCCTGGGGCCTAGTCTATGCTGAAGGCACAGAAGGATCAAGATACAGACGGGGAACGCAGAAGGGCCAGCAGAGTCTGACTTGTGGTTTTGCCAAGAACTCTGCCTAGCAAAAGCTGACAGCTGAGGTTACCCTAGTTCAGATTATGTCTGGGGTGGAGAGAGAACAGATATGCCCAAGGGAATCTCCCAGAAAGAGGTGGAGAAACCAGGCCCAGACATTCTCTCTTCCTGTCCCAATAGGCAGCAGGAGAGGCCTAACTAAGGCCTTGACTGCAACACAGGCACTGGGATACATAGCACGAGCACTGCCTAAGGTTCATTGTGCAACCCGAGTAGCCTGCCATATCTTAAAATACAACGCTTTCTGAGTGAGAAGACTCTTTTTCTCTAGTGGAGGTGATAACTTGGGAGGATCAGAGAATTAAACACAGAGAAGCCAGGCTTTCCGGATATGGGAGAGAAATGCGGGCCCTAGCCCCTGGGGACAGCCTGAAATAGAGATTCCCAAGGCAGAGAGCACAGGAAATGGGGGCTTTGAACCCAGGGGCAGATGGCTGGTGGGGGGAGGGGTCAGAGATTTGGTTATCTCAGCCTCAGCTCTCCCTCTCTGCTTTGCTGTTGAGCTGCTGCTGGGGCATCTGAACAGAGTGCTTAACATACAACTATTGAGTACTGACTACGTGCCTGGTCTCCCCATGAGGAGGAGAAAGAGTGGGGGCAGGGGTGGGAGCAGCTGAACCACTAAACCACTTGAGAGACCAGGGCAGTGGAATGACAAGTGCCACATCTGAGTGTTATGGGTACTCAAGAGGTGCCAGGTCGGTGCTGCTGGTGTGGTCAGGGAAGTCTTCCTGAGGGAGGTGGCATCAGAGCTGGAGCCTGAAGGCTGCAGAGGCCTTTGGACTAAGAGGACAAGGAAGGTGGGCTGGGCTCCACTGTGGCAGAATCCCCCAGGGTCACGAGAGAGGAGAAGCAGAAGGAAGTGTGTGGGTGTCACTTCTGCAGGGTGGCTGCTTCCTCCATCGCCAGAAGCTCAGTTTAGCTGAGGGCCCAGGGGTCAAGCTCCCTACTCCCCTGGACCACTTGGCCCTGGCACAGCTCATTAAGCTGTTTACAACTTGCGGCCCTGTCTCCAGAGGCTGCCCCTGGTCCCTCCCTTGGGGACCCCTCATAGTGCATTCACATCAAGAGATTTTAATTAAAGGGCACCCCACCCAATCCCAATCCGTCTTGCCTCAGGGCCCTGGGTATTCCAGAGGCCTGGGCCTTGCTGGGCTGGCCACACACCAGAGAACACGTCCTGAAGAACCGTAGGGCTGTTCCACTGACGGGCTCCATCCCCAGTTAGACAGGAAACCAGAAGACACAGACCAGAGCCCAGGGAAGCCTCCCGTGGGCTTCTGGAGGCCTGGCAGACAGTGCCCAGCAGGGCCAGCCTCCAGGGTAGGCCTCTGACCTGCAGACAGGCCCACAGGTCTGGGGTGACAGTGCACTACCCCTTGCTAGTCTCAGTATCCCTGAGCAGATGCCTTCAGCTCCTGCTTGACGCTTTCCCAGCCATGGTCAGACGGCTGCAGGAGCCCTGGGGCACCGCATCCACCCACGGCCCTGATCCTTCCCAGCCCAGCCCTGGCTGCCAGGTCCCAGTGGTGCCCACACCCATTCCAGCATCCTCTGGCCAGGGCACCACATTTTCCTTGAATTTTCATTGTCGAGGTCATCAGCCCAGCACACAGGACCTTGCTGCACCCTTAGCGTCAAGGGGCCCCTCCATTCCTTCACTCTCTCTTCCCTTTTCTGATTTTCTCTCTGCTCTCATCATCCTCCTGCCTACCCCCTGACCTCTTCTCTTGGTTGTCTGTCTCCGGTTTTCTTCCTCTTCCCTACATCTCTCTCCACCCCTCTCCCCTCTGTGCTTTCTCTCGGCAGGCTACAAATGGAAAACATCTGTTCCCTGGAGCTTTGCAAGAGGCCCTTTTATTATTATTTTTTTTTGAGGCATCCTGGTCTAACCCTGCACCCAGAGCTGATTCCAGTCTTCCTAGCAAAGCCGAGGCTCTCCCACCCCAGGCAGGGGGATGGGCCCACTTTCCATGGGCTATTTCCATACCCTCTTTGGAGGGATGGCCTTGCCCGCAGGCTGGCCCTGTGCTGATGAGCAGGGTACAGAGAGCCTGGGCCCACTCCTAAGGCCTCTTAGGGCCTCCCCAGGTGAGTGTGCTTCCTACAGAGACCCTCCCCCTGACTTCAGAGAGGTGAGCCACAGGGCAGTAGAAAAATAGATTAGGTCCCCCAAAGAAATTCACCGTGGCTAGCCTTGATCCTCAGTGGGGGCCATTTTGGTGACCCAAAGGAAATAAGCATCAGTCGCTCAGAGCATATGAATGCCCAGGAAAAGGAAGGTGGGGAGAGGGCAAGGGAGGAAGGGGAGTGAAGACCAAGGGGGCTAGAATGGAGAACGCCCAGGCCAACACAGAGAATCCAAAGGTCTGCAGGGAGTTCTCAGGTTGGTCTGAGATCCTCCATCCCTGGGACCCAGAGGGCACAAGGCAGTCAGGGGCTGCATGGGCCTGTTCTGAGTGGCCTCGCTGACTCGGGAAGCTGGGAGGAGTGAAGAAAAAGCTGGAGCTAGGGAAGAGGAGGACGTGGGAAGAAGGCACTGAATGAAGACAGGAGGGGGCAGGAAGGATGACAAAGAGTAGAGGAACATGCAGGACCAAGGACGAGCGCCAGCTTCTCCCTGGACTATGGGTTCATCATAAACACTTGCTTCAGCCACAGCACTGGCCACCCCACCCCAGCCCCCCAACTCTGCCCAGGAGACACCTGGGGTGGCCTCCAACTGCAGGCCAGGACACCAGCACCAGACCACAGGAGTCTGGCATCGGGGAGCTGAGACTCAGGCCAGCTTCCCCTAAACCTAGAGAAAGCCCAGAGCTGCCCATGAGCCCCTGGACCTCCAGGACAGGGGAACTCTCCCTACATGCGTCTCCCACTCTGGTGCACTGTGAGCTCCCAGAGCCATGACCTGAGATCATGGGGGGTCATGGGGGATGAAGGGGTGGTTCTTGCTTTTAGGGAAAGCACCTCTCCCAACACTCAGATCTTGGAGTGTCTATGGGACTCTGTGCCTCTCTCACTTTCACAAAGACCCGCTGCCCAAGAGGCACTGCCCTGCAGCCCGTCTCTCAAGTGGGTACCATTCATCAGCTTCTCATACTGGACTGGAACTGGAAGGAGGCTTGAAGAAGGGAGGGGAGGAGGGCAAGAGATGAGAGAGGAAGGCTACGACAGTCCCTTTGAATTCAACTAAAGAGTGAATTCATGATGGAACTTACTGCCAAACAGATTGGGATGCAATTTATCTTGAACCAAACCAGGGGGATTAGCTCCTTCCAAAATGATCAAGACATCTTTTTCCCTTCCTGCAAATTTGCTGCAGCTGGTGGAGTCATTAGGCAGGGTGGAAGGGGGTGGGGATGCTGATCATATTCTTAGCCTGGGTCAGGTTGGGGAGGCGGTTTAGGGAGATCATTGCCCTGGTGATCTGGTCCTGGCAGCCCTCCATTCAACAGGTGCTTGGTAGATGCTTGCTAGTGATGATGGCAGCCAGGGGAGGGGAGAGGGCTCAGGGGGTGCAAATTACCCTGGAATTCTCTCATGCTCAGAATGAAAGAGCCAGGACACCTTCTCATGTTCATTTCTTGGCTGTGGCGGCTATGCACCAGTCACCAGTCTACTCTCCCCTTCTTCTAGCAGGATAGATCCCCCCCCCGGCTTTTTTTTGAGACAGGGTCTCACTCCCATTGCCCAGGCTGGCATGCAGTGGCACAGTCTCAGTTCACTGCAGCCTCAACTTCCCAGGCTCAAGTGATCCTCCCAGCTCAGCCTCCAGAGTAGCTGGGACTACAGGCATGCACCACCATGCCCAGATAATTTTTTTTGTATTTTCAGTAGAGATGGGGTTTTACCATGTTGCCTGGGTTGGTCTTGAACTTCTGGGCTCAAGCCATCTGCCTGCCTCGGCCTCCCAAAGTGCTTGGATTACAGGCATGAGCCACTGTGCCCAGCCTGATGCCCTGACTTTTAATGGGACACCCGGAATAATGACATCTGCCAGAGCCCTCTGCAGTTAGAGGCAGTCAAATAACTAAGTTCTGGCCAATGGATCATGAGGGGAGGTGATGTGTGCCAATTCCAGGACATGTCCTTATAGGGAAGGGGGTGCCTTCTTCCTTGTTAATCGTTTGCCTTGGAATGTGAATGTGGCAGAGAGCCATCCTGGACCACACGGACGACAGTGATACCCTAGGGACAGAAAAGTCGCTGTCCCAGTCAAGGCTGTCATCTCTAAACTGTTACATGAGAAAGAAATCAGCATCCACCTTGTGCAAGACACTGCTATTTTGGATCTGTTCTTACATGCACCCACACTGGTCTCCTAATACTACACTGCCTGACCCTGACGCGGCGCCACTTTCAAAGCATTCAGATGCTGTTCTCGGAGTTCTCTCCTGTGGAGTGACTACCTAAGATAACGACCAGAGAAGAAAGGCTCATATGCGAATGACTGAAGAGCGTGTGTTTCTACTGACATTCCCAAGTCTAATTACGGGCTTCAGGAGGGCCTTTAACCTTACTTGGAGTTACCAGAACATGCTAGTATCCCTAGTATACAGCAATACATAGTCTGAAAACTGCAAGCAAGCTTGTGATGATGGTAGTAAACAAACAAGACAAATCAGGCCAGGCGCAGTGGCTCATGCCTGTAATCCCAGCACTTTGGGAGGCCAAGGTGGGTGGATCACTTGAGGTGAGGAGTTCCAAACCAGCGTGGCCAACATGGTGAAACCCCGTCTCTACTAAAAATACACAAAAAATTAGCCAGGCACGGTGGCGCACACCTGTAGTCCCAGCACTCAGGAGGCTGAGGTGGGAGAATCACTTGAACCTGGGAGGTGGAGGTTGCAGTGAGCTGAGATTGCACCACTGCACTCCAGCCTGGGCCACAGAGTGAGACTCTGACTCAAAAAACCAACCAGCCAACCAACCAACCAACCAACCAACCAGCCAGCCAGCCAACCAACCAACCAACCAAATAAAAAAACACCAACCCCCCACCAGCAAAAAAAAAAAAAAAAAAAAAAACAAGGCAAGTAATTCAAACAAAAGGCCTGGGAGCTCCGGCACAGGAAACCCACAACTGCAGAATCTGATCACTGTGTTATGCTGCATTCCTTAAAGCTGGTGAAGCCCCGAGCATGGGTGCGAATCTGGGGGGGCTGGGGCTCCATGCAGCCCCTTGGAAGTTGGAAGTCATTATTTTAGTCTTAGAAGTCTTAGAAGATGTCATAGAAGTCTTAGAAGTCATTAGAAGTCTTAGAAGAAGACGGGAATCTTTGCTTAAGGCAAGGCCTTGTTTACTATTCCTCTGGATTTTTCAACATCCCTCTTCCTACTTAAGACCCAACAAGCTGACTGTGGAGCAAGTGCAGGCTCCGAGGGCACCCTGAGCTGCTAACTGGGCAGTTTCTGCATTATTAAACTGCTCCCATGTCTAGCCTTCCTGTGAATCCTGTCCAGTGTTTTTTGCAGATTCAGAACCTATAGTGGGGAGAGTGGGGGTGTACTGCATACTAATGTGTCCCTATGTGAGGAACATGCAGTGGGAAACCTTAGATTCTCAGCTAACAAGCACATTCTGACTCTGACTTACCAAATCCCCATGTCCCAGTAACAGATCATCATTTCGGTTTCTTCTCCAACTCCCCCTAGGGACAACAGCGCACCCCCATGATGGGGAAGGAGCAGAGAGGAGGGTAATCAGAGAAAATGCAAGAGGTGCTCCTGGGCCCAGAACTTCGCTTGGGCAGCTCTAGGCCAAGGGGGTGTGTTGGCCTGGGGTACTTTAGGGGTCCATTTAGCCTATCCTCCTCCTCTCTCTTCTGCTGCCATTTTATTTCATTCAGGTACTTGTCATCTTTGGCCTTGGTTCTCTCTCTTTCCACTCTGATCCACCTCTCACACCACTGTCAGGGTAAATTTTCAAAACTCTTGGCAGCGAGTCCCTCCCGGGCATTCATCAGCTGGTGTTAGGACACTCGCTGTCCATGGGGCCATGCTGCTTCTTCCTCCACCATGACTGCCATGGACAAGACACAAGCCAAACACCTTTTGCTGAGCACTTGTAATGGCCACCCTGACTGTGTCACACATTGGCTCGTTTAAGATCAGGGCTAGCCAACTGTGGGCCGCCTTCAGAACCCAGGTCTGTGGGACTCTGGAGCCAGGCTTCCTGCAGCCTGCCTCCTCAACACTGGCTGGCCTTCAGACTGACTCCTGGTGGCAATGGTACCACTTAGTTACCAACAGGGACTGTCACCTGAATGGCAACCTCAAAGTTACCAGTCTTTCCTCCACCTTCAATGAATTCTAACCCCAGGCCTCTCTTTCTTGGAGCCTCCACACCTCCCCTCTCTGAGCTCTCTAGGGTTTGAAGCCCGTTTTTGAGACTGAGACAACTGTCCATCTATGTGGCCTCTCAGGACCTCCGATCCTCTCATGTTTGGGTTTGCTGCCAGGGAAGCTCTCCCAGGCAGGGAGGTAGACACCATCTCCACTGGGCAGAGAAGGAGATGCACTGCCAGAGGCGAGGACTCCATAACCCGTGTGGGCCTAGCAAGGAGTCCCCACCTCCCCACACTCCCTTCTCCAGGACAGGGTTCCGAGAGCATGGGTAGCCTGTAGACAGGCTGTGTGTGTCACTGGGACTAGGGCACTCACCAGCCTGCAGCCAGATCTGTTCCAGCGTGGTCCATAGCTGCATGGGGCCCTGCTTCAGGACCGAAGAGGGCATAGTCAGCTCTGACATGGCCTCCTCCAGCCGGGAGGCTGCGATGGATGAAGCCCGCCGGGAGCCTGCAGAGCAAGAGGGCACAAGCTGAGCAGTGGTCAGAGGTCCACATGTTGCAGGCTCCAGGAGCAGTCATTGCCCAGCACCATGGGGAGACAGGGTACCCCGAAACAGGGTGGTGTGGCTGGGCAGCCAGAAAGCAGCTCACAGACCTACTAGGGAGGGTCCACTATGTCCTCTCACCCGCAGCTGGGGAGGGTAGCTCTTTGGAGGACAATAAGGCAGAGATCTCACTAGGAATCTATTCCTAGGAAAACAATAATGTCGACAAAGATGCTCTTTACGTGAACACAACAGAAATGACCTCAGTGTCCAACAATAGGGACTGATGAAAAATAAGTGGGGGTATAATCATCCCAGACTCTGAGGTCATTAAAATAACAAAGTACAAACACAGATATCAATGTAGAAAGATGTTTGCACTATATAGTTAGGTGAAAACAAGCAAGTTACAAAAGAACAGGACCACATTTGTATAAAAAAGAAATATGGGCATGGAAAAAAGTCTGAAAGGTCATTTATTAAGGTCTAGGTGGTGAAATTCGGAGTGATTTTTCTTTTCTTCCGTTGGCTATTTTCACTCTGTTTTCACAGGTGCATATTCTCATTTGTTTGTAGAAAGGTCCCCATTCAAGGCTGTGCTGAGAAGGACCCTTGGATAGCAGCTCAAGTCAGAATACTGCCCTCTGGAAAACCTCTCCCAGTGGCAGTTCTGGGTGACATGGGCTCCGGTTCAGGATACATAAGCTGTTGACATTTATAATTCCCATGCAGGTGAAATGTGAGCACTTTCTCTCTCTCTGTCACAGAGGCAATAAAGGCTCCAATAAACTCAGGAGACCTCAGGGCAAACCACGGATGACTTCAGTTCATGAGACAAGTGTACGTGGAGTCCTAATAACTTTGTTCATGATTCTTCCCTCTTTAATTGCAAGGGAGCTACCATTCCCCCCTACCTTAACCATTCCCTCCGGGAGACAGAAGCTCTGCATACAGCCATACACCCCTGAGATGTGCCTCTAAAGTCAGGTGCTAGGTTTGGCTTCTGAAATCAATTCTGTCACTTGACAACAAAGGTGCACCTTGGCTCATGTCCACAGAAGTGAAAAAAAAACGAGCAATTCCACTAGATACAACTCCGCTCACACTTTCTTTCCATGACTCATTCTTGTGTTTTTGATGAAGGTGTTCTGCTTTAAGCAGGTCCTCAGGTGAAAAATGTAAGTCTGCAGTTCCTGAACTCATTCGAATTTCACAAGCCATGGGTTTCAGGAGGAGTTTTTCCAGCAAAGAGTCTGCTTTCAGCTTAGAATGGTAAAGAGCTCAGTTCATTCCTTTATATTTGACTTGATCTGCCGAGGACATTAGGTGGACTGTGGCCTCTGGCTTGAGCCTAAGGGGAAATGGTTTCTGTGCTCCACAGCCACCTTTCCAGCCAGGCTCCTCTTTCTTCACCCCCATGCAGGAGGCAGGGTTCCTCCCCTGCCCACCGCCCGCTGTGGGACCAGCAGCCAGCCCCTACCCAGAGCCAAGATCAGCCCTAGAAGTTGCCCAAGGGTAGCTCCTTAGCACCTGGGCAGCAGCTGGCAAGGAACCAGTGGTGGGCTTGGCCCGGCCAGGAGGTGCCCCTCTCCATGTTGGTGCTCTCAAGCTGGGAGCGTGAGCTGTGGGTCCATGCACACAGCTGCCCAAGGAGTTCATTCTTACCAGAGTCTGCATCATGGGCATCAGGCAAAGTCAGGTGCATGCCACTCTGCTTCTTCATGGTGAGGCCCTCACCGAGGCTACCATCCTTTTCCAGGCCTCTAGAAGGCAAAAGAGGGCCAGGGTCCGGTAAGGTAGAGGGCTAGCGTCACGGGGACTGACAGGGAGAATGGGACAGCCTCACTCTAGGCAGGCTCTGGGGCTGTGGGTTCAGTCCCAAAGACAGAGCTGAAGTCACCAATATCACCAGAGAGGCAGAAGGGATCAACATAGGTAGCATGCCACACAGGCTGAGGCCTGGAAACTCTCCCACCCTCCCTACTGTCTTCTCTGAAGTGGGTAAGGTCAGAAGCTCCCCAGGCCAGGGGGAGCAACATCCAGCAGAGTGCCAGGCAGAGAGTGGGGACTGTGGACTGACTGCCAAGGAAAGCCTGGTCTTGACAGGGCACCAGAAGTGCTGCAACCCCCAAACCCCTGTGGAAAAAGGGCCCAGATGCCACCCCCTGCCTCAGGCTTCCATTCCTTGGGCTGCCAGGGTGTCCCCAGAGGAGCCAGCAGAGGCCCCTGGGGTGGCAGATTAAACAGTCATGGAGATCCCATCTTGTCCCCCAACCCCTGTCCCCAATTTCCCAGATCCCTGCTGCTATACTGCTGGCGGGGGGAGGGGTTCCTCTTTTCACAGAGTGGGGGCTGGGGGGAACCAGGAAATAGCCTCCAGCTTAAGCCTGCCGTGGCCATCCTGGGGCACAAGCAGTCCCAGCCAACACATTCCCACTGCCGAGGAAGCCCACAACCTTTGACCCTGTCAACTGGGGAAACTTAGAGAAGAGAAGCAGAAGGCACAGGAGAGGAAGAGGCAGGGCAAGAAGGTTTCTTTCCTTCAGAGAGGCACCAAGATGATGATCCCACAAAGAATACCAGGGGTGTCCTTGCCATCCTAACTCAGGCTCACATTGGCTTTAACTTGGGCCTGGGAATTTTAGTGGGCATGAGAGGAAACCATGTATAAAACCACAATGGCTCTGGGCTGGTTCCCTTCCTCTCCCACCTCTTCCCATTCCCAGGAGGCACAAAGTGTGGTGCAAAAAAGCCAGAGACAGGCCAGGCATGGTGGCTCATGCCCGTAATCCCAGGACTTTGGGAGGCTGAGGCAGGAGGATCACCTGAGGGCAACAGTTCAACAACAGCTTGAAAAACACAGTGTGACCCCATCTCTACAAAAAATGTTTAAATTAACCAGACATGGTGGTGAGTGCCTGTAGTTCCAGCTATTTGGGAGGCTGAGGCAGGAGGATTGCTTAAGCCCAGGTGATAGAGGCTGCAGTGAGCTGTGATCACGCCACTGCACTCCAGCCTGGACAACAGGGTGAGACCCTGTCTCAGAAAAACAAAAACAATACAAAACAAAAAAGCCAGAAACACTAGGCTGGAATCATGGGCCACCCTTCTCAGCTTTGTGACCCTTGGCAATGCTACTTGACCTTTCTAAGTCTTAGGTTTCTCATCTTGAAAATGATCGTGAGAATGTCCATCACACAAGGTGGTCATGGGGAGTAAATGAGACAATGTGGGCAGATCTGGTGCAGGGCTGGCGTGAGGCAGGGCTGGGTGCAGCTTCCCATCCTACTCTTTCTCCCATCCCGTGAAGGGGCCTTTCCTAGGGCTCCAGAAAGAGTCCATCTCCAGGACTACGCTTGCTTCTAGGCCAACATACAGCATGGTCCCTACCTTGAGGAACCTTACAGCCCAGATGGGGAGAAGGGACAGTTCAAGTTGAATAATCAGCAAAAACCCACATGAGAGGGTTGAATGAAGCATTTTAGAGGCTGGGTGGTTGATGGCTCCATGAAGGAGGGGTATCTGGACAGGGCCTGAGGGGCAATTAGAACATGAGACCAGCAGTGTGGGGCTGGCCCAGGCAGAGCAGCGGAAGGTATGGCTGATAGTGAAGGTCTGCTAGGCCAGACCTGCAAGCTGTGGTCTTAAACCTTGGCTACCCCAAACTAGATTTTACCCCCAGTGTAGGGCAGGGTTATCTGGACCAGAAGCCTGGATCCAATATCCTCCTGGCTTTCCCAGGAGATAGGGAGGATTCTTTTCTGAACTTGGGGCCAGAGATCAGAAACCAGGGCTTGTAAAATCTAGTTTGGGGCAGCCAAGGAGAGGTACTTAGGGGCTTCCTGTTGTGAGAACCCTGCAGTTCTGCTGCTCCAATGGAGGCACAGGCCAGGTCTTCAATGCTGGGAGACAAGGCTGCAGCTCAGAGGGGTCCCACCACGACAGACCACTTGGAGGAAGAGACAAGCAGCCATCCAGATAAGGATGCAGGAACAGAGCAGCCAGCTCCAGGGCAACCCCCTTGCAGGAGGGGAGCTGGGTTGTGCACCTGCTTGTGTGGCCACAGTCAGTGAGCAGGAGAAAAAAGTCATCGGAATGCAGGTCCCCTCACCCAGAGTGTGGCCCTCGGCCTCATGCATCCAGTTGCCAGGTGGCTTCACATTCCTATTCTGAAAAGTCTTTCAACCCCAGAGTGCCGCTTCCACCCACTGGTCCTGCTCTGCCCTGGTCTCCCAGGCCTGCAAAGTGAGGGCTGACTCTGCCCAAGGTGTTTTACTCCATCAGATTACCCTCCTCTGTAAATTTCACTGTTACAGACGTTCCTCTGGGGAGTCTGGAAGCCTTCTGGGCTCCCAGAGTCTCTGTGAAAACACAAATACACACCAGACGGGTGTCCCCTGAGGCCTCGGGGAGATGACACAGCCAGCTATCTCAAAGAAGGACAAGAGGATCAGGAAGAGGCAGGGCCCCTGACCTGCAGGAGGCCCTCTTCCCCTTTGGGCCACATAGGCTAAGCCTAGGAGTCCCATTGGGTTTGAGCAAAGACTTTCTGCAGATTCAGCCTGGACATGACTGCCCTGCTCTGGCCCATGAAAGATCCAGATCCCAGGCCAGGGTCTCCAGCAGGAGACAGGAGGTATGAAGAGCGTGGGTGATTAGGGAAGAAGGGGTGGCCCTTCAGGACTCCACCTCCTCCTCCTCTTCTAGCCTCCAAATGGAATGAGGAAAGAAGTGACAGCCTCCATGGGCTAGAACTCAGGAGACCCAGGTTCAAGTCCCAGCACTACCACTTACCAGGCGAGTGATTCTGGTAAGCTATATATAAAGTCTCTGTGTCTGAGTTTCCTCACTGGGCTGGGAATAAAATCTGATAATGCACAAGCTGTAAGCAGCTGAGGTATAAGATAAAGGAACAAGCCCAGCACCCAGCTCCAGCGCTCAAGAATGATTTCTCTTCCTTCTTACCACTCCTCAACCTCAATGTCCTACCCAGGGTCTCTATGTACTTCATAGAGGACTGTCAGGAGGTTCAAATTGGACTACGGATGTGAAAAGCTCCGTGGGCAAGAAGTTCCATGCTTTCATTCAGCAGCCTCCCTCTCCTCCCCATCTTGGCAGGCATGGCGGCCACCCAGCTGTGGATTGATGCCCTGGCAACCACCCTCTGGCAACCCAAGAGACAACGACGGCCACTCACCCCAGCTGGGAGAAGCTGTACAGGGTCTGCCACAGCCGCAGCATTTGTCTGCAGGTCACGAGGGCTTCCTCTGGGCCTTTCAGCACCTGCTCCAGCTTCACCTTGGTGAACATCAGGCTGCGGGGAGGGAGTGGCCATCAGCACACCCCAGCGAGGGCCCACTTTCACCTGAGGATCCTGCCCCACCAGGACGGCCCCACATGCCCACCTCCCCAGCTCGCAGAAGGCAGAGTGCCATGAGGGCGGCAGCCTCTGCCAGGTCCCTGGACCATTTGCTTTCTCTCTGTGCCTCACTTTCTCCCCATCTTGGCTGCCAAAGCATGAAGCACCCCATGAAGCACTGTCAGTGCCCACACTGCTGATGCCCCGTGTCCCCTGACCACGTGCCATCCTGCCCATCTCTGAAGCACTGCCCTGTGAGGTCTTGCTCGGTTTGCTCTTCCTACCCACATCCTCCACTAAGCAACGCCCTGTGCCTACTGAACGTGGGATCAGGCTTACACTCACATTCCCCACAGGGCCCAGCCTGGGACCTTGGATAAGAGACCCGTCCAGACAGTGACTTAGAATCCATGAGTGAAGGTAGAGCAAGGAACTGGCAAGGAGGTCCCCTAAGGACAGAGCTCCGCTTCCCACCTTGCCAGCCACAATAGTATAGGTGCCCAAGCAACACCTCCTAAGTGGAACTGCAAAGTTTGCTTCCTGACCCTGGAGATACACAAAGAAGGCGGTGTTATGCTTTATCAAAGGATTCTTTCTCGGATTTCCCAAAATAGCCAGCTCCCCTTACATAATCGATAGGATTAAAGTGACGTGAAATCCTTTTCAATCACCATTTAGGGACAGTTACTGTGCAATGAGAGCAAGCAACTTCAGAATTTCTTTCGACCTGAAAACCTGAAGTCCTCTGAGGTAAGACCAGTGTGGGGAGTGGCCCTTAGAATGGCTGAGAAGAAGAGCTGGTCCCACCTGGAGGCAGGACCCCAGGAGGGGTGGCTGGCTCCCTCCCTCTGCCCTGGACACAGCAGGCACAGCCAGAATGCTTCTCACAGGCCAGTCACGACACTTGTTCATCAAGAGCTGGGGTGGAGCCCTGGAGGCCCTGCTGTGACTGGTGTTGGCCCTTCAGATGCTGGGGAGGTCTGGGGGTTCTGGAGGGGTCCAGGCAGTGGTTATATAGCAAAAATTGGAAGTCCAGCCATATTTTCACCTTGGTACTGCCAGCAGTACCAACACACACCAGCTGCCTGGGCAGCCTGCGGAGAGTTTGAACCACTGAGGGCCAGACAGTAGCACCTCCCGCTTCTCACCAGTGGTTGAGTAGTGAGGCCCTTTCTTCTCAACACCGCTGAGGAGCAAGACCACGGGACTGTCAGGCCCTGCACTTGAACACTGCCCGGTGGTTCTACCAGCCCGCCCGAGGGTAGCACACAGGCCTGCTCCATCGGAGGGTCCCCACCCAGACTGCGAAGGCTGCAGGCGCCACCTGGCCCTGGCAGCTGCTCCTCTGATCTCTCTCAGTTGGGCCTCTGCCCTGAGACCTGGGCTCCCAGCTTCATAAAGCCCTCTGATGTCCTTATTCTCTGCCTGTCTTTCCACACTTTGTCTCTTAGATTGCAACTTGGTAGAGAATGAAGAGGGTGGAATTTGCCCCAGGATCTTCAGAAGAGGGGATTTCTAGACAAGAATTTTTCTTCCTCACTGCATCCCCCAAACGCCTTTCCTGACCCTGCACACAGGTTGCCCCTCAGATACCACCTCTTCTCTTCATTTTCATCCATCCCAAGCCTGGCTTTAAATCCCACCTCTCTCAATTCTTAGGATGCCCTGCACCCGTCTTGGAACATAACTAAGGACCACCTGGCTTGCCTATCAGGTCCCAAGGGCAGAAACTGGGATCAACCTAGCATGGACTGCACAGACCCGAGTGCACAGTCAGCACAGGACACAGCCCTGAGTAGGAATGACCCCAGTGGGCAACTGCTGGGGACAACTGGTCCTGCCACTGTACTCTCCTTCCCCAGGTTTGCAAAGGATCCAACACTCCACAAGCACCAGGGGCCTCTGCTTTCAGGAATATGAAGAAGAAAACACAATGGCTGCCTTCGAGACAATTAGAGCACTATAAATGACACATTGACCAGAGAATCAAGGGCTGTATTTTTGGATCAGACTCAGTGCAGGGGAAGAAACAGGAAAGGGATCTTACTGGAGCTGGTGTTTGGTGAAAAGCAGGGTGGAGTGGGATTTGGCTGGGAGCTGGGGAGAGAGAAGAGGCTGGGGTGTGGAAGGTGGGGCAGCTGGTTGGAGCAGTAGGTGTCAGTGAGGTGGGAAAGCCCCTCCCTCAGACAGCCAAGTCCCCTGGGCTGGGCTGATTCCTGGGGACAGTTCCCTGCGCAGGCCAGCCCTGCTGCATTCCCCGGGCCCTCTGCAGGCATTGCCTCTTCAGCACGCTTCTCTCTGCCAGAGCTCCCTTCTCACTTTCTTCATCTTTGAGGGCCGGAATGGGTCTAGGGCAGACCCGACCACACCATGTGCCTGGCAAAGAAGTGGCTGAAAACTGAGCTGGCATCACAGTAAGTTCTACCAAAGGCAGGCTGTACCTTCGCAGCTGCTGACATTCCATTAGCATGAGTGGCCCAGAGCGGATTTTCTCAACCCAACCGCATCCTTTCTGGGCTGGGGCAAGTGCTCCACCAGTCACTCTGGTTTGATCTTTCACTCCAGGATCCTGGGAGGATCCAGATTTGTTCCTGAGATTTCCTCGGGCTGTCAGGTGAGCGCTGCCAGAGGGATTTTCCTCCGCAAAGAGCCCTGCCCCGTGGTCCTCGCCTTCTGTGCCTCTGTGTGGCCTTCACAGCCTTCCTGCTCTGGCTCTACCCTCCCTTCCTGCCATCCTCCCCATGACCTTGGGTGCTGGTACACTGATCACATGGGTATTAGCAGCTCCCTGAGCCTCGGAATAGGCTCCCGGACTCGTCGTGCTGTGCTTGTGCTGTAGCCTCTGCTGAGATCACCCTTCCCCCTCTGATACCCAGCCAGCTCCTAACCAGATGTCACCCTCTGGCTTTCTGTGTCCCCATGGGGGCTGTGCACACCCCCATCCTGATGTCAGGATGTGGTTATCTGCGCCTCTGCTGGCTTGCCTCTAGTTCACTGCAGAACTTTCTCCCACTCCCAACAGGGATCAGCAAACAACTCCACTCCCTCAGAAGAAGCGACTCAGCTGCTCTTCTAAGGAGCACAGGCCCCTCTCTATCCTGTCCACTGCAACAGGTAGCTGCTGCCCACTCACCCACCTATCAATGCCTAGCCCATGTCTTCAGGAAGCAGGAAGCCTGGCGGAGCCCTGGCATGCCGTCAGGGCTGGTGGGTGACATTTTGGGGCCCTCACAGCCAGGAGGAATCGAAGCTGTGGCCACAGCCTCATCAGAACGCTGTGACTCCTGCGCGAAGCTGAGGGGAGGCTGCTGGCAGTTGGGGCTGGGGATAGAGTAGGCAAGCCTGGGCTCCCCTTCCCCTTGCTTATCTGTCTTATAAACCAACTGAGCTTAAAACACCACTTAAATAAAGGATTCTGAGACTAAAAAAACTATTTCAATCCCACGGCTCCAGCCCTCCTCCAAGATGTCCCTATGTAATCACGCTGTCCTTCTCTGAATGTCTGGCACTGTGTTCCATTAGCACTTAATTACATTATACATATATATATACTTGGGGCTCAGGACACACCACCCTAAAATATGACTATTTGAGACCAGAATATGCCACCCCAAAATACACTTCGGCATATTTTGAGTTAGTTATTCCAAGAAACTGCAGACACAGAAGTAGCTCTGAAAAGCTGCCCTTTTATAAAACAAATTTCCTTTTTTTTTTTTTTTTTTTTTTTAAAGAGACAGGGTCTGGCTCTGCTGCCCAGGCAGAGTGTAGTGACGTGATCATAGCACATTGCAGCCTCGATCTCCTGGGCTCAAGCAATCTTCCTGCCTCACCCTCCTGAGTAGTTAGGACTAACAGGCATGGGCCACCACACCCAGCTAATTTTTAAATTTTTTGTGAGACAGGGTCTCACTATGTTGCCTACGCTGGTCTCAAACTCCTGGGCTCAAATGTTTCTCCTGTCTCAACCTCCCAAAGCACTGGGATTACAGGCATGAGCCACACTGCCTGGCCTAGAAACTTCCATCTCTCAGGGAAATCGACATTAGTAAAAGTATCTATAAAGAGGAGGGCTGCTCCTGACAACTTCTATCACCTGAGAGATTTTTATCTGCATAACAAGAGAACCTTTATTCATCATCTCCTCTCTGTCACCCTCCTATAACTTGTCTCTGCCACCCATGGGAACCCCAACCCCCTTTTCCTTTCTGTAGCTCCAGATGCTATTAAGCTTCACTCATCTGGTCTTTCTTCGAATCTCATATTCAGTGGGACTTCCGTGCATATGTATATAATTAAATACATTTTTTCTCCCATTAATCTGTCATGTCAATTTAATTCATAGCCCAGTCAAAGCCCTCCTCCCTAGAAGGGTGGAGGGAAACCATTTTCCATTCCCCTACTATGTATATAATCTTTTTTTTTGCCACCTAGGCGTAAGAGTTTAATAATAAACTCATATCAAGTTTTTTTTTTTTTTTTTTTTTTTTGAGATGGAGTTTTGCTCTTGTTGCCCAGGCTGGAGTGCAATAGTGCAATCTTGGCTCACTGCAACTCTGCCTCCCAGGTTCAAGCAATTCTCCTGCCTCAGCCTCCTGAGCAGCTGAGATTACAGGCATGTGCCACCAGGCCTGGCTAATTTTTTGTATTTTAGTAGAGACAGGGTTTCTGCATGTTGGTCAGGCTATTCTTGAACTCCCGACCTCAGGTGATCCACCCGCCTTGGCCTCCCAAAGTGCTGGGATTACAGGTGTGAGCCACTGCACCTGGCATTTCAAGCATTTTTAATGTCAGACATTCTAGAATCAGTGTGCAGCCAGCCTGGCCTATAGATGGTGAAACCACCGTTTATCTTGCCCTGTGCCTCATCGTCCGTCCCCAACTGCTCTGCAAGTGCCTGCAGGCAGGGCCCCGCTGCCCTTCCCCAGTGCCTGGCACAGTGCTGAGCACACAGT